ATAAAATAAATAAAAATCATTTTTATTAAAAAATTATGATTACTTGTGAAATTAAAATTGATAATTAATTTAATTGAAAGAATTAAAACAAATAAAAATTTCTTCCGGTCTTAAAATATATAAATCTTTTTTTATATTATATTTATATATTTTTTATATTTTTGTATATTATAGGATAAAATAAAGATATGATTAAAATCTTCTATAATCATTTATATGATGAACTCATTCAATGATCATTTATTTATTTAGATATATATATTTTTTGTGATATATTGTGCAATATATGAATTTTTATCATTGTTTTTGTAACCTCGTAATATGAAATATATATAATCTTATTTTCTTATTTTTCTATCTTATTATATTTAATCTAATTTTAAATAAAAATTTGTTTTTTCTCAAACAAAAAATGATAATTTATATTAATTTTCATAATTTAAAATGTATAATATATATATATATATACAAATTTTTTTTTTATTATTAATTTGATAAATGTATATTAAAATAAAATATTATATTGTATCCCTATATAAGACAATTAGAAGACATCATTAACAAAAGAAAATTAATACATCTATATATTTAAAAGATAAAATAATATATATATGCATGTATTATTATTACTTTCTATTAATTATAAATTTTTCTAGTTTTAGCTAAATAATTATCTATTGTATTTAAATATGTAATGAATTATTGAGTTGTTTAATAAACAATACAAAATATTTAATAGATAAAGCATATTAATTTTTTAATTTTTTATAATGTCTAGGTTGCTGTTCCAGACGTTATTGAAGCTGCAAAAGATGCAGATATTCTTATTTTTGTATTACCTCATCAATTCATAAGAACATTGTGTGCAACTTTACTCGATAAAATTAAACCTACTGCAGTCGGAGTATCACTAATTAAGGTATCTATTTTCAATAAATTTTTTTTTAATGATAATTTCTTATGCATAATAATAATATTATAATAATAATTTTCAAATTTTATCAAGGGTTTTGATCGAGGAGATGGAGTAAATATCGAACTTATCTCTAAAGTCATTGAAAAAAATTTAAGAATTCAATGCTATGTTTTAATGGGTGCTAATTTAGCTAATGAAGTTGCTGAAGAAAAGTTTTGCGAGACAACTATTGGTAATTAGTGAAAAGAATAAAATATTGATCTGTTTTTTAAATATATGTTATTATTAATTTTAATGTGTTATTATTAATTTTAAAATATTATTAAAATTAAGCTAAAATTAAAATTAATTTAGCTAAAAAGATATAAGTAAAAAATTTTTTAATTTTTAATAATGAATTTAAATTAAAAAATAAATCAGTAAGAATAAAAATAACAATTACACACAGTAATTTTTTAAGATTATGTTGTTATAATATATAATTATATTAATATATATAATTAAATAATATTTATATAATTATATAATATATATATAATATTATATACAATTATATATAATATATAATTCTGTAAAATTGTTGATATTTTGAAATATATAGTTAATTTTTATAATATCAATTGATTAATCGATCAATTAATCGAAATAATTAAAAAATAAATATTAAATAAATTTTTTAATATTTTATTAACTTTTCGCTCATTTCTTTCATTTCAAATGAAAAGATATAAAATTATATAATTTAATGAAATAATTATTTTATATATAATGTTATTTATATTTTTTCAATTAATTTATAATTTGTTATATTATTTATATTTCTAATTTTATTAATTATCTTAATTATAAAAATGAAATAATAGATTTTTCTTTTATCATTTCATAATTAGAATGAGATAATAATAGAATATAATAAATTCACAGAAAATTAAATATTAATAGGATATTTCATAATTAAAAAAATTTTAATAATTTTTTAATTAGTTATTATTATATATATTTAATTATACTATATTTTTATTTTTAGGCTGTAGAGACAAACGTTTGGCTCCACTTTTAAAGGATCTTATTCAAACCTCCAATTTCAGAGTTTCAATTGTTGAAGATTGTGAAGCAGTTGAAGTATGTGGTGCTTTAAAAGTATGTAATTAATTATATAAACTTATTGATTTTAAATAAAATGAATTTACTTAATAAATTTATCTTTAATAATTATAATTTATATTTTAGAATATTGTGGCATGTGCTGCTGGTTTTGTAGATGGTATAGGATTAGGTGATAATACAAAAGCAGCTATTATTAGACTTGGATTAATAGAAATGGTTAGATTTGTAGATACATTTTATACTGGCTCAAAACTTGCAACATTTTTCGAAAGTTGTGGTGTAGCAGATTTGATAACTACATGCTATGGTGGAAGAAATCGTAGAGTTTGCGAACAATATGTTAAAACTGGCAAAGTATAAATCACATTTCTTCTTATATTTTTTTATTCCAATATATTTCTTGTATATTTGTCTAATATATTTCTTAATAAATATATAAAAAAAAATAATAAAAATATAAAAGTATATAAAAAAAATATATAAAAAAGTATACATATATTTATATTATATTTTTTGTACTAGACCATTAGACAGCTTGAAGAAGAACTTTTAGCTGGTCAAAAATTGCAAGGACCAGCTACAGCCGATGAAGTTCACGGAATGTTAAAAGCTCGTAATTTAACAGATAAATTTCCATTGTTTACTACAATACATCGCATCTGCACTGAACAAATACGACCAGCAGATTTAATTAATGAAATACGTGCTCATCCAGAACTACCGTTAGTATTAAAATTAACTTTATTTATAATGATCGTTAAATTCGTTAAATTTTCTAAATTAATTTTACAAAATAAATCCCTATTAGGTTTGCACCAAAAACATTGTATTTGTATTAAAAACTATTCTTTTTTACTTTTTTTATTGAGAACTGTTAAAATTGTTCTTTAAATAAAAACCCATTTATATCGGGACATAACATAATATACTAATAATATACATAATAATAATTTACTAACATATCTTATCAACATACAAGGACAATTCCAAAAGTAAGTAATATTTCCAAATAAATTTTTTTAATTCAAATATATAA